AAGGGGGAAGTATCTGTCAACAGATTCCGAGTACGTTCGCCCAGGAACATATATATTGAGATATACTGTTCCCAGGTTCGCCCTGATAATGTGATATTTATTTTATTTTGCTATCATGTTGTGAACGTAAATTAATTAAATTAAATATGTGGAAGTTTGTTGAAAATTTCGCCGAATATTTATGTGGTTTTGCTGCTACCAGATAATCATTTTTCATTGATTTGTCACAATACACCTAGAGTGGGGCGCACATATTCGCCGGGGACACAATTTCGCCGTTTTATGATTTTCAGGTGTAGAAACTTCAAAGGATTGCTGAAATGGAAGAAACATGCCGGTAAATTATATTTCTATAATATCCTCGTGTATTGTATTTTCGACCTACTAACATATTTCTCCGAATTTCCCTTTTATAAATTATATGTTTGAACATAGACATGACTAATATTTTGAGAGTCACTAGTAAACTTGGGCATAAAATTATTGTATCTGAAATATATTTCGATCTTTAATTATTTTTTTATTTGAGTTAATTAGATCGATGGCACGTTTGTTGACAAAAACTAGCGTTTTGTGTTTTCGACCTCTCTAAGAAACTGGTCCAAAGTCGGAAATGACATGTCGTACAAATCCGGAATTGGTTAAAATTTGATGCCAATGTCTATATCAAATTATTTAAATTGTTAAGAGGCGATCAAACTTATGACTCAATGAATTAAATGGTTACATATACAACTTTAAGATAAAAAATATTATTTTGATATCTTCATTTGACTAGTTGTACACATTTCACTTAAGGCACTTTGGAAGCAACAGAGACATATATATATGTCTCTGGAAGCAAGTTTGATCTTGTATACAGTCATTTTTTTTTTCAATACTTTAGTGAAGGCATTGTGGAGTGAGTATTGTCTGTAATTTCCACTGACAGACTGTTGTTTCTGTTAATTAAAATTAATCTATATTTTATTTTTTTAGTAAAAAGCTGTAAGGATCATGCAGATTTCCGTATTAAAAATAACTTTAAAGTATTACAACTAACCACCTGAAGACGGTCGAAAACACAATACGAGACGATAAATATGATTATTTTTTAAACTAAGAAAAAATTTCGGCACTTACCGCAAAGGACCGAAAAACGAACAATGATTTTCGGCCAATTTCCTGAATGAAAAAAAAGATTTCAAAGAAGTATTTCTTAGTAATTCTTTGACTGATTGCCCTAAATTTTAGTTCTTTACACCTTTGAAATGTCTGCTATTCATCTATAATGAAATTGATTTGATAAATATTGTTTAAAGCTGCAGTTATTTGGTTTTAAATAGATGTGTAAATACGGCGAATGTGTGTCCCCCTATGACAAAACATCAGGAAATTTCAAACAGCCTTTAATCTAACTTTTCAGATGATTTTTTTCAGAGAAACACGTTTTCAAGCTAAGAATATTTTGCTTTTGATGTTATCTTCATATAGAAATATCAGTATACTTCAAAAACTTAATGGTCTGAACATAAACTGCAGAAAACATGGAAAATTATGGCGAAAATGAGCACCCCACTCTAATCGCTATTTATTCCATTCCGGATAAGTTCTAAAATTACACAACTTTTTCATCCAGTTGAAGCTATCTTGGGCCCTGTTTAAACAATGCACCATGCATGATACTTTTTAATGAGATCTGTTTAAAACATCGTAAATACTTCAAACAAAATATTTTTTGACTATAATTTGAGTTTTGAAAAAGTGGATCATAATCTATCAAAATTTCGTATTGATCGCTTTCTAAATTTTTCCCTTCCTCAGCTCGTTACTGATGACCTTTGTTGTTTACCTGTTCAAGGCCTGTTGACCCAAACAGGAATTTGTCTAAATGACTGTTTTTCCGGATTGGACTAAATAGCGATAAGGTGTATTGTGTAAAGGGACACTTCCTATATATAAGGTGATAGGACGTGCCGCTGGAATAGGCCATATTCTCTAGCTTGAAAATATGTGAATACGTGGTGAAAATTATCAGAAATATATATTATGAGGTCAACAAATAAAAAAAAATAAATGAAGATGTGGTATGATTGCCAATGAGACAACAGTTAACAACTGTAGGTCACCGTACGGCCTTCACAAATGAGTAAAACCCATACAGCAAGTTCCCATTACTTGTTATAAATTTGTATGAAAAGCCCTGTAATTTTTTCACAGCCAAATGTTTTGCCGTAAGTAAATATTACATAAGGAATCTGAAGGTGTTATTCCACTTTTCCAACACACTACAAGAAATTCAACCAATATGGGAAAAGGTTACATTTTTACCTAATCAATATATGAAAAGGTATACATTTTCAAAATCTAAATTAATTATATGAAAAGGGTGGGGTAACAGAACCCCAGCTACACCCCTATCATATTAAGTATTGATGAACTCGCCCCATCCCCCCAAAAAAAATCAAATGGTCGTCCCCTAAATGAACATAATGTCACATCATTGGTTGAATTTCCATTATTTAGGAAATATATAACCAATCAAGAGGTCTTGGTGTACGCTTTTGAGAATATTACCAAAAATGCATTAGATTCTGAAACAGGGAATTGGGAGTATTACATTGTATGTTGTGATCCCAGCTGATATCAGAAACATATTACATGAATATTATTTTGGCAAGTGAGGTCTTTTTAAAAAAAGTTGAAAAATTTTACAAAACATAAAATAAAAAAAAATAAAATGCAATTTTGTATCAATATGTAGCTATATAGTGATGATTTATATTTTGATTGAATTGAAAGATGCAAAATTGGAATAAAAATGTTTTTATAAGTATTATGATATACCATACTCTTTAAAAGTCAATTTCAAGAAGGATTTGACAACTTGTAGATTTTTCTTACAAGTGAAATAAATACACGGGAAACTAAACCTACATGAGTTTATCTACATGTACCTTTTTATTGGTGTACACACCACAATTTTTTTATGAGATCCCTCAAACACATCGATACCACCAGATTTTTGACGATATATGTTTGAAGGTAAATCCAGAAAATCCCTTCTGACATTTTAAATTAATTGAGTGTTATTTTACATTTTGCATTAAATTTGCCTTCAATCAAGTACATGGCACAACCATTTAGGAAACTGTTGGAAAACAGCACAGCAAAAAAAATAAAATTATAAAGCCTTACAGTAGCAGATTAACAAGACTGCATTGTATTGAAGGGATTTTAGATGACTCAAATACTGCAATCTACCCCTGTCTATCAGTGTGTCCTGTTCGTCTGTCCCATGAAATTTTGGAAGTATAAATAGTCAGTGGCCTTTGGCTGTTTTTTGCTCTTTGGTCGTGTTGTTGTCTCTTTGACAACTTCCCCATGTCCATTCTCAATTCTCAATTCTATTTGTCTGTTTGTTCCAAAAACATCAAAAGAAAACTTGGAAACTTCACAGAAAGCTTGCATGCTTGTAAGGATTATTTGTCATCATATTCTGTTGACCATACTTATTAACAGTCAGTATAAATAAATAAAATATTGTTTAAATTAAACTTGGGCCAAAAATACTATTGTTTCCTGCCTCCATATCTACCCTTACACATGATGTTGTGGATATTTTGGTGAGACCGGGTTCTTTTCACCTGACCTAGACCTCCTTTCATGGATACATTTTGTAAGTGATCAAAGTTAAAATTACTTGATTTTTAGGTCCGTTTCTCAAATACCGTAAGCAAAAGTTCAACTATGAGTAGTGTATGGAATGATTGTAAAGTGTACATGTTAGTCGGGCAGGTTTCATCTGACCTTAACCTCATTTCGATGGTTCATTGTTCAATGTTAAGTTTTTCTGTTTTGGTCAGTTTTTATGCCCCACTTAGGGGCATTATGTTTTTCGGTCTGTGCGTCTGTTTGTCCGTCCGTTTGTCCGTCTGTCCCGCTTCAGGTTAAAGTTTTTGGTCAACTCGAGGTAGTTTTTGATGAAGTTGAAGTCCAATCAACTTGAAACTTAGTACACATGTTCCCTATGATATGATCTTTCTAATTTTAATGCCAAATTAGAGTTTTTACCCCAATTTCACGGTCCACTGAACATATGAAATGATAGTGCGTGTGGGGCATCCGTGTATTATGGACACATTCTTGTTCAATAAGCAATAGGCCAATTTTATTTGGTATATGGGATGATTATAAGGTGTACATGTCTGTCTGGCAGGTATCATCTGTGGCTCTGCCTTTGACCTCATTTCCATTGTTCATTGGCCAGTATTAAGTTTCTGTAGTTTGGTCCTTTTCTCAGATTCTAAAAGTAATAAGTTAACTATATTTGGTGTATGGAATGATTGTAAGATGTACATATCTTTCTGGCAGGGTTCATCTAACCTTCACCTCATTATCATGTTATGATTGCCAATGAAACAACTATCCACCAAAGTTCAAATGAAGAGGATGTAAGCAATTATCATGATTATAGGCAACCGTACGGCCTTCGTCAATGAGAAAAATCCAAACTGTATAGTCCGCGGTGAACGGTCCAGACATGAAAAATATGAAACAATTCAATTGAGCAAACTAACGGCCTAATTGTAACAAAACAATCAAGTACTAAAATCAAATCTGACAGACTTGAACCAACGACAACCACTGAACTACATGCTCATGACTTAGGACAGGCACATAAAGAATGTGGCAGGGTCTGAACTTGACCTTATTGTTGTAAATAATTGATAATGTTAAGTTTATGTGATACTTGTAGTAAAAACTTTATCTTTAAGGCTTTCAATATTAAGTCAATCATGGTCAGTAGAGCAGACAAGACATGAACGTGTGCACTCAGACTATCAAATAGTCTATGTAAAATATAAAAAAACATCATTTTACCTTCTCTTTTTTTACTGCCAGATAAAGCTTTTTTACTGCCAGATAAAGCAGGAATTAAGTATATTAATTGTCCATAAGAAACACTGTACCTGGAATGAAATTCACACTCTTCAAACAATTTTTCCTTGTAAATGTTGCAGAAAATACAAATGATGCCAAAGAAGAAAAGAGAAAAGGAACTTGGACTGTACCATTTTCTTTGCAGCTCCTAAGGTGAAGTATTGTGCAATAAAACATTTATATAAATGTTTATATAAAAATAAGAAGATGTGGTATGATTGTAAATGAAAAAACTCCTTCAACCAAAGACCAAAATTAACAACTATAGGTAACCGTACTGCCTTCAACAATGAGCTATATAAGGCCTTGAAATGACCAATGTGAAACAATTCTAATGAGAAACTTACAGCCTGATAAATCTACAAAACATTAAACGAAAAACTAATATGATATACAGCAACAAACCACTGAATTACAAGCTCCTGATTAGGGACAGGCACATGGAGTATGTAAAAACATTAAAAATGTTTGCTGGCACCAAACCCTCCTCCTAACTAGGACAGTGGTGTAACAGTACAACTTACAAACTATAAAAATCAGTTGAAAAGGGCTGAATTCTTTAGACCAATACAAAGCACAGAAAAAAATCCTAACAAAAACACACAAAGTACAGATCAGAGAGTACTAACAGTTACCGAAAGCAAGTTCAATTGGTCAATATTTTATCCATGTCCTAACACAATCTGCTGAATTTCTCTTAATAGTTAACCTAGACCTACAAATGTATGGTTATAGCCATCACTTGATGTCATCTGTTGTTGGAAATTAAACAAATAATGACTTCTCTGAAACCAACAGATCAATTTCAACCAAATTTGTGCTGAATGATCCTTAGTGTCTTGTACAAGTTTGTGTTCTTTAATTTGAACAATGAGCACAGAAAAATGGCTAACATAATGACAGGAAACAAAGTTAAAATGCAAGTAATTGTCAAATATATTGAAAACCACAATTGATTAGGAAAAACTTGTATGTCATTTCCATGCAATAATTTGAGAACTGTTCAACCAATGGTTTTTTTTTAATTCTTGTATGTTCTGACTGATACCAAAGGTCAAGTTCTATAAAGAAGATTTTCACTTTTGTCGTTCTAGAGTTATTTCCTTTCCTTGCTTTTACAATGACACTAATAAATGTAATTAAACCTTGTTTGCTGTCATTTTTACAGCCTACTGTTTTTAATAGCTCACCTTGACCAAAGGGTCAAGTGAGCTTTTCTCATCACTTGGCGTCCGTTGTTGTAACTTTTACAAAAATCTTCTCCTGTGAAACTACTAAACCAAATGTAACCAAACTTGGCCACAATCATCATTGAGGTATCTAGTTTAAAAAATGTGTCTGATGACCCCACCTGCCAACCAAGATGGCAGACATTGCTAAAAATAGAACATAGGGCCGTTAAATGCAAGTTTTGTCTATTATTTTGAAAACTGTTATGTAAAGAGAAAATCTGACTATGACGTCAATATTCAAGATGTTGAGCTCTAACATTTGTTCATTGACGTCAAAACTGTCAGGCGACTTCTTGTAGGAGTTATTGCCCTTAAATGACAAATTTTACCATTTATTTTCATTTTTGCCTTTTATCTTGAGAGCTATAATAGATGGAGAGAAACTTCTAAGTTGCAAAAATGATCAACAAGACCAGATCTACAAATAAATATGCATGATCGAAATTGTCAGGCAACTCCTAATTATTTAAATTAGCCACAGAGTTTTTTGTATGGTCTAGTTTTAATTGTACTTTTATTGTAGATCTAGGAGGTGAATTTCCTTCTGTTGAGGAGTCGGAAATTTAGACTGTCCTGAAGATATTAAATGAAGGTAAACATAACTTTAAAGTAATGTTTATATTGGTAATAAAACTCAAGTATGCATCAAGGATGTATATGGTTAGATGGTAATTACTGTATGTGAAACAATAAAATGTGTTCAAAGTGGGCAGTACATGTAACATACCATCAAAATTAGCATAGCCAAAAATGCAATCGCTTCTTAAGTTTAAGTTACATAGATCAAAGGCCCATGTGATCAGCATCATTTGTTGTTGATGGGTTTTATAGTATGTTGTCATAAACTTTAAAAAAAAATCTTAAATCATTTATACCGTTCCCAAGTTATGGTACTTGATTGTTAGAAAATAATTGTAATTTTTGTTTTCTATAAACAAATTCCTAAAGCAGAGATGCAGATAAATTTTTTTCCCTGTCAGACATAGGGGCCTGCAAGGTAGACAGTTTTGACAGACCTATCAACTGTTTGCCAGACCTACATTTTTTACCATTTTTTCTTCTTTTTTTTATCAGCTTTTTATACAGTTAAAACAAACAAGATAGGATGTCTTCATAGTGACTGCTGCTTCAGTGGATATCTTCATACTTGCCCAAGTTTTTAGGAGATTATAAACATTAATTTTTCTAACATGTATGATGTATATACTACATAATACATTACAACTAATTTAAATCATTCTTCAAAAACATATTTTGAAATTATTAAAGTAGCTATTTTGTTTGTTCATTCTGCTCAAATTCAAAGTTGGATTCATAACATTCTCAGTTGCAACGTAGGTTAACCAAGGACAACCCTCCTTCCATTTGGGGTTGAACTACAGCTTGGGTCGTTTTCCTTTTCATTAGCTACCAGCTTCACTTTTGTGTTTTTGCTTGCATTACTATTTTTATCAATTAAAACAAGATTAGATTGTTTTTTACCAGGTTTAGACCCCTCCTTAAATGTAATTGGCCATTCAGCCATGCTATAAGAAACATATTAAATATTTTTACCGGAGAATAAATTTAAAAAATTCAGATATGAACTGGTTCCCCAGATTAAGTGAAAGAGACGGGAAGTATTTGTGTAAAAAAGCATTGATAAATGCAAATAATTAATGTTTTCAAATCAGAAAATTATCAATATATAGTACAGATATGTTTAAGGATGTACTTAGGTGAAGTTTAGTAATTTGTGTCAGATGTTCGGACTCCTTCGTTTTTTTCCTACGATACAGGGTAAAATATTTTGCCCCATAACACCCTCTTTTTTTTTAAATAAGACTACAATAGCTCATAAAAGGTCATTTATCAAAATTAAACCAGATTATAGATTTCTTTTCTTTCGATTTGAGACCCAAATAATACCAATGGCAATGCTAATATAAGGTAAAAGTCTGAGTCAGCCTTTTCCCGCCAATTTTTAAATCTCAAATATGTCGAAAAGGAGCTCCATAACTTATCAATATTTTTAGCTTATTTTGTTCCTTAACTAATGCTATTTCGACTTCAGATATCAATTTTAAATTCTAGATTTTTTTAATTTCACCTCAGTACATCCTTAAATGCATCCCTTTAAAATTATTTGCCTGTTATTATAATATATTAATATTAAATCTAATAATTTTCAGATCCAATAATTTTCAATAAATCAAGGTTTTCTTAAATAAAAAACCAAGCCAAATGTTTTGAAAGTGGTGTTCAAAACTAAACAAACAATCAATCAATCCATACTGCAGCCATTTACCGATTTGATGACACATTTTATACAATTTTCAGAAACTACAAGGCTAATTTGAACCAATTTTTGCATGTCTGAATTAATTCTTTTGCTCAATTAACCATGACTGATTTTCAAAATGATCATCATGTAAAAATAAAGAGATGTGATAAGATTGCCAATGATAACTATCTGTATGAACAATGTTAGTTCACTGGTTTGCTTTCAACAATAAGCACAAAGGAATACCATATATATTGTAGTAAGCTATTAATAAAGGCCCCCTCCTTATAAAATGTTAAACAATTAAAAAGTGAAAAACAGCGTCCTGATTTTTGCTCAAATAAACGTTTGCCTATGGAGATATCCTAAGTTAATCCCATATAGGAGTCAATAAAATCTATAGCTGATATAAAAAGTCCCTAAACTTTGTTTTAATTTGTATTGATGTTAATCATATAAAAGTTTGTACATTATTGAAGTTACTGTTAATTTTGTGTATTTCAGATTATTATTGAAAAAAAGAGCACCTTGAAGTACTAGAAGAATTTGAAAACAAATTAACTTGGTGAAATAGTCCTACTGGATATGACAGAACACCAAGAGAAATGGTGAAAAATTACACAACTTATCACAAGAAGATAAAAGCTTTTTGCAATTTTCGGTGGTTCTGAGATCAGTTACAGTCAAAGGAAAAAAAAATACTGAACATGTATTAACGATTCATCGATCTTATGATGTATCTTGATTGATATCTTAAAACATATTGACTGTAAACTAGTTACAAATTCACCAATTATATCTGTTGTTCACAAAATTTGTTATTGTTGTTAGTTGGAAATATCTGTTGAATGTTTTGAAATTAAAATGTGTAAATTTAAATGATGTTCATTGAAGTCTTTAAATGATACAAAAGGAAGGATACATGGAATAATTGCCATTGAGACAACTACTTTTCCTGCATAGGAGGGCAGTGATGTAAACAACTACAGTTCACCTTAAGCCTTCAACAATGTGCAAAATCCATAAGTTAAAGACAGTTATAAAAGGTCCCAAGATAATGGTACTTATACTTATACATCCTTGGCATTCAAATTTTTGGTTTGAGTGTTTCTGATGAAGGTAAATTAAAAAAATGCACAGCAAAACTTAATTTATAAAATGTTTTTTTTTCAATTTCAAAAGAGAATACTAATGGCCAAATTTAAGCAAATACCAAAAAAGAAAATCGATTATGGCAGACAGCAACCAAACACAACCACTGGACTTTATGATCCTGTTTTGGAGTGCTCAAACTGCACCATAACCTGGGACTCATAAACATCTTATATAATACTGAAAGACAGAAAAGTGTAAAGTGTCTTTCTTTCAAATTATCTGCTCTTTCTTTATGTTTAAAATGTACATTGTAAAACGCATACAAGAAGTTTACTGCTATTGAGACAAAGGCAAAAATCATAGAGTTACAGAACATATTGATTACAGACATAATAACAATAAACAAAAACAACACTTACCACTACTAAATGATCAGGAACTTTCAGGAATTGATTCCAGCTACTATCCAGGTTATGTTAAACAAATTTCCACCTCCCAACTGTTCTGTTCAGTGAAGAGTTTTTACCATTGAAATGAAATGTGAATACATTCCAATCTTTTGGCAGCCATGAATATTCCCTTCACATGGCGGCATTTATACATTTTCACATAGGTACCCAGGTAGCTATATGCTGGTATTTGTACAGTAATGTTGTTTTTCTTAGACAATGAACAGAGAACCAGGTCATGGGTACCTTTATCCGGTGGTGATGATACACAGTGAAAATGAAACATTTTTTTCTTTCTTTTTATTAAATTTTGAAGAAAAAAAGAAGAAAAAATTTAGCATTTAAAATTTTTTTCTGAATTTTGGAAAAAAATATTTTTTTTGTAAATTTTTCATTTTTTTTTTTTTTTTGAAATTTTGAAGAAGAAAAAATTAATTATAAGCATTTTTTTTTTTTTTTTTTTTGAAATTTTGAAAAATTTGATTTTTTTAGTAATTTTGCATTTAATTTTTTTTTTTTTTATTTACAAATTTTTTTTTTAGTCTAACTAAGGGGGTTAGCCATGCACGCATGGCTAAGGGTTAGTTGAACAATAATTATTATATTTTATAAAATTCAACTAAGGGGGTTAGCCATGCATGCATGGCTAAGGGTTAGTTGAACAATAATGATATATTTTATAAAGTCCAACTAAGGGGGTTAGCCATGCACGCATGGCTAAGGGTTAGTTGAACAGTAATAATATATTTTATTAAGTCCAACTAAGGGTTAGCCATACTCAGGTTAGATCAAGGCATCAATTACAGACTTTACCATATATTTGCCTGACAATTTGAAGATAATCATATTTGTAAATAACTTCATAAAATTCATCACTTTTTTTGAATTTTATTTTATAACTAAGGCTTAGAACAACATACACCAAATCATTTCATATTCCATAATATATAATTATTCCAGATTCAATTAATTCCTTGTTTTGAGGAGATTTTACTTTTTTTATCCAAATTTTAATTGGGGATATTTTACTGTCTTCATCCGAATTTTAATTGGGGATGTTTTACTGTTTTGATACAAATTTTGATTGGGGAGATTTTACTGTCTTTATCCAAATTCTAATTGGGGAGATTTTACTATTTTTATCCAAATTTTAATTGGGGAGATTTTACTGTTTTTATCCAAATTTTTACTGTTTTCATCCGAATTTTAATTGGGGATGTTCTACTGTTTTTATCCAAATTTTAATTGGGGGAGATTTTACTGTTTTTATCCAAATTTTAATTGAGATTTTATTGCTTTTATCTAAATTTTAATTGAGATTTTACTGCTTTTTTCCAAATTTTAATTGGGGAGATTTTACTGTTTTTATCCAAATTTTAATTTGGGAGATTTTACTGCTTTTATCCAAATTTTAATTGGGGGAGATTTTACAGTTTTCATCCAAATGTTAATAAGGGGATGTTTTACTGTTTTTATCCAAATTTTAATTGGGGGAGATTTTACTGTTTTTATCCAAATTTTAATTGGAGATGTTTTACAGTTTTTATCCTGAGTTGGGGATGTTTTACTGTTTTTATCTGAATCTTAATTGGGGATGTTTTACTGTTTTTATCCAAATTTAAAATAGGTCATTTGATTGTGTTTAAAAGGGACTGGGTATTTTATTTGTTTTTATCCAAATTTTAAATGGGTCATTTGATTGTGTTTTAAAAGGGACTGGGATTTTATTTGTTTTTATCCAAATTTTAATTGGGGGTGTTTTATGGTTTTTATCCAAATTTTAGGATGTTTGTATCCAAATTTTAGGATGTTGTACTGTTTTTATCCAAATTTCAATTGGGGATGTTTAACTATTTTATCCAAATTTTAAATGGTTCATTTTGTTGTTGTGTTTTATCAAAATTTTAATTGGATTTTTCTATCGTTTTATCCAAATCTTAAATGGGTCATTTTATTGTTTTTAGAAGGGACTCAGTATTTTATTTGTTTTTCAAAATTTTAAATGGGATATTTACCTATTTTACCAATAGGGGATATTTTAGTGGTTTTATCAATTTTAAATGGGGACGTTATATTGTTTTTATCAAAATTTTCATTGGTTGTTTCATTGTTTTAATCAAAATTTTAATTGGGGATGTGGTACTGTTTTTTCCAAATTTTAAATGAGTCATTTTATTGTTTTATCAAAATTTTAATTCTGGATGTGTTACTAGTTTTATATTTGACCTTTTTTTACAAAGTTTTAATTCATGAGATTTTATTGTTTTTTTCCAAATTTTGAATAGGATTTTTTACCATTTTATTACCATTTTTAATTACCTTTTTTTTTAAACTTGCCTGTATAAGTCATGCCAAAGTCAAATCAGAGACTTTAAAACTGGTACTCCGAAAGGAAGAGACAGGTGTCTTACTGTGGGCGATTGTCTTGGTGAACTAGCATCTTAAAGTCCAGATAACCCACAGGCCAGCTGACTTAAGTACAAGCAGATAGGTACTTTTGTGCCATTTGGCATTTTTAAAACTTTTGGAAATTATTACTTTTGGCATTTTTTACTTTTGGACTTTAACCTTTTTCTATTTGAAATTTTTTTTTAATTGTTTTTAAAATATTTTTTACACCTTTCAGTTAAATACACATTTTGGCTGCATTATGGTTATCCAAGGATAATTTCTTTTTATAAAATTTACATCACACATTTTGGCTTATTGTAACTTTGGCTGTAACCTTAGATTTTAAGAAATAATATAACCATTTAATATTGAAAATAAAAACTACAACTTCAAAATTGGTTAAAACTAAAAAAAATCCAAATTTCATGTAAAAACGTTTTGATCTTCTTTTCAATGTTGAAATTTGAATTCATCCATGCCCGGTACTTCATGATTAAAATCTTTTCATCAACTAACAAACTTAACATAGGGGAATCTAACACATATATTAGGCTTATATAGGTGGCTAAGGTTGGTATGGATTAGAGAGAAATGGAGGGAGGGAGAAGCAGGAAGAATTGAGAGGGTGATGGTAAATAATGAGTGGAAACGGTACGTAAAGATGTATGTTCTATAGGGAGAAAAAAGAAAAATTGAGAGGATGAGGGTAATGTTGAGAGAGGTATGTAAAGAAGTAAGTTTGAAGGGAGCATAAGAGTGAGAGAATGTTAATTTCTTTGTAAGGGCTTGATGTACTGGTCAAATGGAAGTGCAGTTTTCTCTTTTCTCTCGTGTAGTTTCTATTTTCTTCAGAAATCTTTTAACATTTTAACTTCTGAAATTACTACTGTCTAAAAATTGACAAGTTAACAGCCTTTCTTGTTACTAATTATGTGCTGCTTTTATATAAACATTGTAGAACTTCTCAGTGACTAGATAGGGTAGCAACTTTTCATCAATTTTAACAGCATCATCTAACAGTTCTTTATGCAGTGATATAAACACTTTATGAATGTTTCTTTCATTCTGAGAAATTTTGTTTTCCAGTCGTTTTCAAATGCATGCTCAGCATCTTTTTTGGTCTTAATTCTTCTTTGTGTGACTTCTTTGCTTTCTATATGGGTTTTATATCAGGCTGAAAATGCTGTAATTTTTTTGCAGTTATGTTTATTTCATGGTCAACTTCCAATAGTAAAACTAATTCTGTAAAAATATTTCTACCACTAACAAGGAAAAATACAAAATGGTATATGCAAACCTATTTTAAACCGGCTTGGTGGTCCTGTGGTAGTGTGTTCACCTCTGTTAAGGAGGTTCTCAGTGTTTGAAGCCCAGCAGAGTCGAACTTGAATATAAAATAGGTATATGCTGCTTCTTCACTAAGCATGCTGCATTAAGAAGAAACAGCAAAGACAGGTAGGGTGACACATTTTCATGTGGACTGTTACCTTGTGAACTAACATGTTAAAAAAAATCCAGCTCAGCGTGTTGGTCTAGAACAAAGCAGGGTTTTAAGAGAAACTTTTCATAACAAATAATGATCAGCAGGACAAGATCTACAAAATGATCAGCAAAACATTATCTACAAATATCAGAAAAAAGGCAAAATTGTATGTGCTCTCCTTATAAAAGTTATGACTTTGAATAGTCCCCTTTTATTATTGCCTAGCAACCTTCCTAGGCAACAACAAAAGTGGACAATTACAATATTGCCCTGTATATAAGTACAAGATTTTTTAGCATTGTAACTGAAAATATGGTAAAATTCTTTCCAAGATCTTAAAATTTTATATTTTCTGTAACTTGATGTGACAATTCACTTTTCTCCTTAGCAACAGACATAATCCTAAGGTACAGGTTTATGTTTTTTTTTTAAATAAATTTAATATATCTATTCGGCAACACTGGACCCCTTTTCACACCCACAAATAGAATGAAAATTTGAATTTAACTTTCAATAGATATTTTAAGACAGTGCAGATTCAACAAATTTTAAAAACACTTAGCAAAGGAAAGACGAAAGATACCAAAGGGACATTCAAACTTATTAAATAAACTAACAACGCCATGGCAAAAAAAAACCAAAAGACCAAGAATAGTATACAAAACACAACATAGAAAACTAAAGACTGAGCAAACACTAATTCGGTAGTCACATTCGGGGAAAAGGAGTACAGAATTGTGGTTACGCCGATTGGAACATATCCGTCATCATCTGTGAAACAGATATTCCATAACAGTCAACCAACTCGTGATGGCGTCCGTAAAATTTCCGAAAGGGATGATTTCAACTTCACCACTTGGAACTCTTAGTTTAATAGCTTCCTGAGCAGCAACCCTCTATCAAGGAAATAATTCTAGGAAACGCATGCCCTGGAATATC